GGAGAGGTTCACCTTTCACATAAAATCGATCCAGCCTGCTAGCTTCCTCTTTTCTCCAGAAAGTATAGAAATGTCGAGGATCCCGATCTGTTTCCTCCGCTTCCATGTCGAGGTCCCCACTGACTTCTATAGCGTCCGTGAATTCATATATTTCAACCAACTGCTTCAACTCTTTGCTCTCACAACCGTTATTGCTGGGTCTCCTTGCTGCTATCCGATCTCTATCTGGTCGAAGTACACATCTGAAGTCTCCTCCTAAAATGATCGACTCATGGTGTATTAACCAATTTCGTAAGTCATGGGAAAATAGTTGTCTCGCTGCTGGTTCTGCTGGCGCATATACATTCACTATAAGCCACCCCCCAAGTTCTACCGCCATTATCCTGGATGTCCAGTGCCGTTGTCACCAGGGTTTCACTTTCAAACTCGTTGTATGATTTAATAAGATGGCTACTCCAGCTGCTTTCGTCCATGTTTTCGTCCAGTAGCTGAGCTGGTTCATATCATGTCCCGCTTGACACCTTCTGCGCCACATATTTTCCATTTCTTTCACCTCCTCGTCTAGATGTAGTACAGTGTCCTGAAGTAGTAGTATGTCCGGCCCAGCCTTCCTTCTACTTCCTTTCCACCCATTTATCCATCGTCTTCTAGAGCTCTTTGCAAACCCTCTCAAGTTTGAGATTTAATCTTCAGGTTCACTTTCTTCTGTTCCCGTTTCCAATGTGCTCTTTCTGGTTCTTCAAATAAAGCAGCGATGTTATCCAGTTCCGCATAATAATCACCGTCTGGCAGTTCTCTACATTCTTCTTGTACTGACACTTACTGAGCCGTTACCCGCTGGATTCTTCCAGGCCCCAGATTTTCTAAGGTTGATTGTGCGAATTTAGTCTCCAGAATCGCCCAACAACCAACAGTATCAGCTCCATTCATCGCTGCATGTAAGTCCGGATTGACCTTTAGGATTTCAAACGGCACGTTAAGATGATCCATAATACTCTCCATCGTAGCTCCTTGATTCCCTGCCAAAGTCTGTAGTTCAGCTTGGTACACGTAAGCCGATACTATAAGTCTCGACATCTTTTGACGGTCCGCTTCTCTACAAAGTTTAAGAAGCTCAGAATTTGCATACTTCTTCTTTTTAATTGGTCCCCAAAATGCTCTGTTGTAGATGTTGTACCGATCCATACTGATTCGGTCTGGATCTGTGAGCTCCATCCTCCATTCCGCAAGCCAATTTTTAAGCTTTTCTGAAGATGTTTTTTTGAATGATATTAGTGATACTTGCAACTAAACACTCTCGCCTTGACTTTAAAGTCCATTCATCCAGGATAGCCTCCGTCATCGTGCTAAGGATGTAATCAGGTGACTGAAAATGCTGAAGCAACCGCAACAATTCTTGAGGGGCCTACCAATTTCTATTTAGCAATGGACATGGGCATTGTTGGAAATTCTGCTGTCGTAGCACCTTGCCAAGATTCCTTCAAGTCGTTCCATTCGATCTTTAACACATGTTCTTTCAATCGGTTCATCCCCAAGTTGCCTGTCATTCCAATAAATCTGCCAGTTCTTCTTCCCTCTTGCTCATTATCCAAGTGACCTTCCTGAATATCCATTTCTCTTGACGGAGGGGACCATTCTGATCCTTGGTCTGAAACCTCACTCGATTGCGAATTAGTCCATGTCGCTGTCAGTCCTCTGAGTCTGAAGTGATTCTGCCATTCCTGTATATTCTCCCTTGTAACATCAAACTCTTTTGCCCACCGATCCAATGTCGCTGTATCAGTTAAATTCTCTTCTCGCAAAGCTGACCGTTTCCCTGGTGCCATCCTTTCCAATCCGTCCGTTGGAAATGCTGATAGTTCATGTAGTCGATTACCCCCAGATTCCTCATTTTCTTCTCGTTCTATTTTGTCGACCATCGTTTGAGTCGTTGTGCTGTTACCCGTTATTTCATCGGTCTCATTTTCCACTTCTTCCATTGCTATATCAGCCTCTAGTGCTGATGAAAATGTTAATGATGGGTTGGTGGTTTCCTGCTTTCTCGCCGTCGCGCCAGTAGCTTCTCCTCTGAGTTTTCCTTGATGTTCTGAAATTTCATCCAGCTGTAGTGGTTGCCATTGTATGCTAGTACAATTGGGTTGACCGAGTTCTCATTTCCTGCCATAACCTCCTGCTGTAGAGCCTGCACCCACCTTTGTAGCTTTCCTTTTGGCATATTTCGCTCTTTGGCCGACAAAAACCTCTTCCCTTGCACTCTTACCTCCGCAGGTTCAAACACTTGGTAGCTAGCATTCTCCATCCCCGTGCTTGCCAGAATAACGAAAAAAAATTCTTTTCAGAAGCTTGGATAGCATTCTCAGTGTCTCCGCCGTTTCCCAAAACCGTGTCGGCAACTGTACATCCAGCTTCACTGTCGATTTACAGAGAGACACCAGGTGCTATTTGTATTGGCGTGATGATTCCATAGCGTTAAACGTTGGAAGATTGGTAGCAGTCGCTTCCTGCTCCCGAATGGCTAAAGCTTTAAGAATAGATGAACGTTGATCATGAGGAAACTCTTGATCGAAGAAGTGATTAGATGCTGCGGTTATCCCCTTTTTTAGTTTCCGTGTCAAGATCTCCAATGTCTCCACATTTTCCTTAGTGTCAAAGGTCTTGTTTAACAAAGCCATTGCCAGTTACCCGCCATAGGAGTACTCATCTCTTGCAGTCCACAGTCCCGCGTCACCTCATTACCGGTACGGTGCTCTTTTTGGTATTGACTCAATTTGAGTTTGCTGCATTTCTCGAAAGCGCTT